AATGGATTCATATCAAATGTGGTCTGAAATATCATGGTTGCAATTCCAGACCACTATCTGCAAATTCTCTACTTTATCTATCCATTCATTGATTGTCAGATGACTGTTAATGCCTTAGGTCTCTTGTCTATTTTGGCGTTTTTTGGATGAATGGGTGGTTCCAACATAACATCAGACATTTAAAGCAACACTTGACCCATCCAGACTTGTTAAGACAGAAGAGTGAGTTATGATGACTAATATTGAAACATATTATCTGGTGTTGACAGAGTTATGGCCCTTTGTATACACTCTCCTGGGTATTACCAAGCTTGTTTATACAGAAGAATGAGTAATGATGACTTATATTGAAACATATTGTCTGGTGTGGACAGAGTTATGGCTATTTGTACACATACAGAAGAATGAGTAATGATGACTTATATTGAAACATATTGTCTGGTGTGGACAGAGTTATGGCTATTTGTACACATTCTCCTGGGTATTACAAGACTTGCTGAGACAGAAGAGTGAGTTATGATGACTAATATTGAAACATATTGTCTGGTGTTGACAGAGTTATGGCCCTTTGTATACACTCTTCTGGGTATTACCAAACTTGTTGAGACAGAAGAGTGAGTTATGATGACTTATATTGAAACATATTGTCTGGTGTGGACAGAGTTATGGCCCTTTGTACACACTCTCCTGGGTATTACTAAACTTGTTGAGACAGAAGAGTATTTTATGATGATTAATATTGAAACATATTGTCTGGTGTAGACAGAGTTATGGCCCTTTGTACACACTCTTCTGGGTATTACCAAACTTATTGAGACAGAAGAGTGAGTTATGATGACTTATATTGTAACATATGGTTTCTATAAATAGTTATAACCCTTTGATCAGACTCTCCAGAGCACTGTCAAACTTTATATTATGATATTAATTGATATGGGAACACATTATCCTTTATATGCAGAGTTATTGCCCTTTGTTCATATTGTCCTGGACATTGCCAGACTTGTCAGGATGGTAGAGCCCTTTATTTTGATGTATACACTTTCATGGAAGCACATGCTCCATTGTAGACAGACTTAGGGCCTTTTGATGATGATGCCCTGATCAGTTGATAAACTAGAATATAATATATATATATATTTATTCATATGCTTTGTAAACAGTTTCATACATAAATGGTATCACAGGCCCTGTCCTAAATAGAGCTATGACCAAATGTTTATTTACATTAGTGAACTAAGCTAGAGTTGTAGGATAATTACCCTGTTCTCTAGCATGTGACTTTTTTTCATATGATGAAGCTAATTTTACAAGTAATATGATTCAGTAGAATTATAATGTAATAAATACAAAACAACAGTTGGTAGATGGTAAAGTATGCTAAAAATAATTACAATTATTCTAAAATTCTAAAATTCTCAATTCTAAAAATTAATATAAGAGTCAAAAGACACCCCTGATAGCTGGTGAAAGCACTGCTACATCTTAGTCAGATACCAAGGGTTTGTCACTGACATGGTACAGTCTGGTGGTGTAACTTTGGATACCATGTCTTGGTTTGTCTCTGACGTGGTACAGTCTGATGGTGAAACTTTGTATACCATGTCTTGGCTTGTCTCTGACATGGTACAGCCTGGTGGTGTAACTTTGGATACCATGTCTTGGTTTGTCTCTGACGTGGTACAGTCTGGTGGTGTAACTTTGGATACCATGTCTTGGTTTGTCTCTGACGTGGTACAGTCTGATGGTGTAACTTTGTATACCATGTCTTGGCTTGTCTCTGACATGGTACAGTCTGGTGGTGTAACTTTGTATACCATGTCTTGGTTTGTCTCTGACATGGTACAGTCTGGTGGTGTAACTTTGGATACCATGTCTTGGTTTGTCTCTGACATGGTACAGCCTGGTGGTGTAACTTTGGATACCATGTCTTGGTTTGTCTCTGACATGGTACAGCTTGGTGGTGTAACTTGGGATCGTCTTGACATTTTACATGTACCCTCCCCTGGCTTGTCCCTGAAAGCATGTCTCATGTTCTTTTTGGTGGAAAAAATTATTTCCTTTGTGTAAGAAAATGAGATCTATCTTCCACTAAATGTAACGTTGATTGACAAGAAAACTAATCACAACCTCTGATGATCTAAATGTTGGTTTTATCATAAAAAAACTAATAGTATTTAACTCACATAGATCCCTTACCTTTCCAGTACAAACATTAGATGACAGTGATTAAAGCTTACAACAGTTGATTTGTTACTGGGATGAACTTAAAGCCAGTAATTAAACAGTTTCTGTGTCTGAATGTAACTGCTGTCACCTTCCACAGATAAAGGAAGACTAAATGGTAGCTCTTATTTTCATGTCATATGGATGATAATTGACTTCATCCCATTAGATCTCTGATTTGTTAAAACCAGATTTATTAAAGCATTTAAACAACTTCTCCTGATGAACTGATAGGCCTAGAGACATGATATTTGGCTGGAATGTTCTATTTCACTGGGATGTTCCTGGAATGAAACCTGACAAAGTTTGCAAAATAAGTAACCTTGACTCATTTTCAAGGTCACAGGGATCAGATTTGTTAAAACCTATAAGCATCATCTACCCATGAACCAATAGGCCTAGAGGCATGGTATTTGGCTTGTATGTACTTAGGATGAAGCTCTACAAAATTTTGAAAAAGAAATGACCTGACCCATATTTAAGGTCAAAGGGATCAGTTTTTAGAAATATCTAAATGATATCTTCTCATGAAGTAAAAATCCTAGAGGCATGATATTTGGCTGGTATACCAGGTGAGCGCTGCAGACCCATTGGGCCTCTTGTTTGTTAAGTTGTCCTGCACTACATGGAGTCCTGGTAGGGTTTATTTGTTATTTATCAAATGCCACATGGAGTCCTGGTGGAGTTTATTTGTTATTTATCAAATGCCACATGGAGTCCTGGTGGAGTTTATTTGTTATTTATCAAATGCCACATGGAGTCCTGGTGGAGTTTATTTGTTATTTATCAAATGCCACATGGAGTCCTGGTGGAGTTTATTTGTTATTTATCAAATGCCACATGGAGTCCTGGTGGAGTTTATTTGTTATTTATCAAATGCCACATGGAGTCCTGGTGGAGTTTATTTGTTATTTATCAAATGCCACATGGAGTCCTGGTGGAGTTTATTTGTTATTTATCAAATGCCACATGGAGTCCTGGTGGAGTTTATTTGTTATTTATCATATGCCACATGGAGTCCTGGTGGAGTTTATTTGTTATTTATCAAATGCCACATGGAGTCCTGGTGGAGTCTATTTGTTATTTATCAAATGCCACATGGAGTCCTGGTGGAGTTTATTTGTTATTTATCAAATGCCACATGGAGTCCTGGTGGAGTTTATTTGTTATTTATCAAATGCCACATGGAGTCCTGGTGGAGTTTATTTGTTATTTATCATATGCCACATGGAGTCCTGGTGGAGTTTATTTGTTATTTATCAAATGCCACATGGAGTCCTGGTGGAGTTTATTTGTTATTTATCAAATGCCACATGGAGTCCTGGTGGAGTTTATTTGTTATTTATCAAATGCCACATGGAGTCCTGGTGGAGTTTATTTGTTATTTATCAAATGCCACATGGAGTCCTGGTGGAGTTTATTTGTTAGTTGTCAGACATTGCATGTAGCCCAGATAGGGTGTTTTTGTTAGTTGTCAGATTGTACATGAAGTATGGGTAGGATGAATGATTTGCACAATGCTTGCATTGACCTTTCTGGGGCTGCATGTTTTTTCTGTTACTGGAATGCTGTCCAAGGTGGTATATGTAATTTTGTGTTTAGCATGCTACAAGGTTGACTTGTAAGTGGACTGAGGTTACCAAAACAACCAGTCTTAAATATATTGTGTATTGTTGACTGAGACTTTTCCATGATGACTCGGTCAATAGACTACATTCTATTCTTGATAATTTTATACAGGAAAATAGAAATCTGAATAAATTTTAATGTAGAATGATCCTGAGACCATTTAGAAATGGTATTGTGTCGGTAGCTTGTTAATAATAGTTATTAATCGTTACAAGTGAAGCTCAATCACCAAAAAATGTCTAGTTTCCTGTAAATATAACGTATAGATTGTGGAGATTTAGGTACACTGTAAAAACTGACAGTAAATGATATAAGGATTAAGTACAGTTTAGTATTAGGAATACAAACATACACAGTTCACTGAGCTTATGCTATCTTCACTCTAAGACCTGGGCTGCTATTCATTAAACCATCCTCATGCTAAAGTATGAAATTTGTGTTCAGTCCATCTTTTATTTAAACTTCCTTAAATCCATAGTTGTTCAAAAGCAAAACTTTAAAATCCTTCTTATCACTGAAAAGACATTAATTCAGATTTCATATTTATCATCAAAAGTGTTTTAGCATGAGCACAAAATTTTGAGGAGGTGTACCATTTATGAATATGGGCCCAGGATTTCAAATCAGCCTTTGAACATAATACACAATACTTTTAAGATTTCTGTATCTAATTAGATTATAGAAAATAATAAAATTTGATTGGTGAGAAAGTTTAGAAATAAAGGATTTTAATAATTACACAAAGTATACTTATATAGAAATAGAGATTGATATAATTTAGATTTCATGGAATCATTTGTTTTAATGTTTGTTAGTTTTCAATGTCAGTGTCATTTGTATGCTTCATTGGTCATAAGGAGAGGTTCAATGTATTGATAACTTTAGTAAATGTATACTAGCCAGAGTGAATTCAGGCATAAAAAGAAAAAAGTTGATCAGATCATTTTGAAATAAAAATTCTGCAGACGTTATAGTAGTTAAAAGTCTGCGCTACAGTGTAGTGAAGACCTATGGATTTTCTCAACTCTTTGTTAGTAAATCATTACTGATATGAGATTGCTGTCAATAAATAATTAAAGGTATTTTTTTCTACATATATGACATTTTCATTTATTCATTTTTAAATTTCATTTTGTTTATTTCAGGATCCAGGTATTTCAGAACAAGATATCAGATTATTTTGTGAGTAATACAAACAGCAGATGTTCATTTCAAGTTTGAAATCAATTGCTTACATAATGTAAATCATTACATTTTAGTGATCAGAGTTTTGAAAATTTCTTAAAAGATTTTTCTGCTGGAAGAATTGTGATTTATTTGTTAATTTCCATTTGAATGTTGTATAATTGATGTATTTGTTTAATTGTAAGAATGTGATGTTGGTTCAGATAAAGGTTTATTGTTTATTTTATCATAATGTTTAGTGTAAAGTATATGTAATATAAGAAGAATAAGTTATGTATTAAGTGGAAAGTATTGATGTTTTGTAGGTAAAAATGCTGCCTTTCTACGAGTAGTTCGATGTCGCAGTCTTGAGGAGGAATACAACAGCGCTACAGCACGGAGCCAGGAGATAGGTAGGTAACACACTATAATCAGTGAATGGCAGTTCTTTATACTTTATAAACAAACATTGTCCTGTCACAGAATTAAGGTGTAATAAATAAATATATAGACAAGAGAAATATTTCGAATAAAATGGGGGTAAGGGGCTGAAGTTTGGGTGGAAGGAGGGTCCAACATGGCCCATTGTTTCACCAGAAAAATTTCTGCTGAAACAGGGTCCATTACATCATGAGGAAAATGTCCTGCTACAACAGGGTCCATTACATCATGAGGAAAATGTCCTGCTACAACAGGGCCCATTACATCATTAGGAAAAGGTCCTGCTACAACAGGGCCCATTACATCATGAGGAAAATGTCCTGCTACAACAGGGTCCATTACATCATTACGAAAAGGTCCTGCTACAACAGGGTCCATTACATCATTACGAAAATGTCCTGCTACAACAGGGCCCATTACATCATTAGGAAAAGGTCCTGCTACAACAGGGCCCATTATGTCATGAAGAAAAGGTCCTGCTACAACAGGGTCCATTACATCATTAGGAAAATGTCCTGCTACAACAGGGCTCATTACATCATTAGGAAAAGTTCCTGCTACAACAGGGTCCATTACATCATGAGGAAAATGTCCTGCTACAACAGGGCCCATTACATCATGAGGAAAATGTCCTGCTACAACAGGGCCCATTACATCATTAGGAAAAGGTCCTGCTACAACAGGGTCCATTACATCATTAGGAAAAGGTCCTGCTACAACAGGGTCCATTACATCATGAGGAAAATGTCCTGCTACAACAGGGCCCATTATGTCATGAAGAAAAGGTCCTACTACAACAGGGTCCATTACATCATGAGGAAAATGTCCTGCTACAACAGGGCCCATTATGTCATGAAGAAAAGGTCCTGCTACAACAGGGTCCATTATGTCATGAAGAAAAGGTCCTGCTACAACAGGGTCCATTACATCATTAGGAAAATGTCCTGCTACAACAGGGCTCATTACATCATTAGGAAAAGTTCCTGCTACAACAGGGTCCATTACATCATGAGGAAAATGTCCTGCTACAACAGGGCCCATTACATCATTAGGAAAAGGTCCTGCTACAACAGGGTCCATTACATCATTAGGAAAAGGTCCTGCTACAACAGGGTCCATTACATCATGAGGAAAATGTCCTGCTACAACAGGGCCCATTATGTCATGAAGAAAAGGTCCTGCTACAACAGGGTCCATTACATCATGAGGAAAATGTCCTGCTACAACAGGGCCCATTACATCATGAGGAAAATGTCCTGCTACAACAGGGTCCATTATATCATTAGGAAAAGGTCCTACTACAACAGGGTCCATTATGTCATGAAGAAAAGGTCCTACTACAACAGGGTCCATAACATCATTACGAAAAGGTCCTGCTACAACAGGGTCCATTATGTCATGAGGAAAAGGTCCTACTACAACAGGGTCCATTACATCACGAGGATATGGTCCTGCTTCAACAGGGTCCATTACATCATGAGGAAAATGTCCTGCTACAACAGGGTCCATAACATCATTACGAAAAGGTCCTGCTACAACAGGGTCCATAACATCATGAGGAAAATGTCCTGCTACAACAGGGCCCATTATGTCATGAAGAAAAGGTCCTGCTACAACAGGGTCCATTACATCATTACGAAAATGTTCTGCTACAACAGGGTCCATTACATCACGAGGAAAAGGTCCTGCTTCAACAGGGTCCATTACATCATTAGGAAAAGGTCCTGCTTCAACAGGGTCCATTACATCATTAGGAAAAGGTCCTGCTACAACAGGGCCCATTATGTCATGAAAAAAAGGTCCTACTACAACAGGGTCCATTACATCATTACGAAAATGTCCTGCTACAACAGGGTCCATTACATCACGAGGAAAAGGTCCTGCTTCAACAGGGTCCATTACATCATTAGGAAAAGGTCCTGCTACAACAGGGTCCATTACATCATTAGGAAAAGGTCCTGCTACAACAGGGCCCATTATGTCATGAAGAAAAGGTCCTACTACAACAGGGTCCATTACATCATTAGGAAAATGTCCTGCTACAACAGGGCCCATTACATCATGAAGAAAAGGTCCTGCTACAACTGGGTCCATTACATCACGAGGATATGGTCCTGCTTCAACAGGGTCCATTATATCATTAGGAAAATGTCCTGCTACAACAGGGTCCATTACATCATTAGGAAAATGTCTTGCTACAACAAGGTCCATTATATCACGAGGATATGATCCTGCTACAACAGGGTCCATTACATCATTAGGAAAAGGTCCTGCTTCAACAGGGTCCATTACATCATTAGGAAAAGGTCCTGCTACAACAGGGCCCATTATGTCATGAAGAAAAGGTCCTACTACAACAGGGTCCATTACATCATTAGGAAAATGTCCTGCTACAACAGGGCCCATTACATCATGAAGAAAAGGTCCTGCTACAACTGGGTCCATTACATCACGAGGATATGGTCCTGCTTCAACAGGGTCCATTATATCATTAGGAAAATGTCCTGCTACAACAGGGTCCATTACATCATTAGGAAAATGTCTTGCTACAACAAGGTCCATTATATCACGAGGATATGATCCTGCTACAACAGGGTCCATTATATCATTAGGAAAATGTCCTGCTACAACAGTGTCCATAACATCATTACGAAAATGTCCTGCTACAACAGGGTCCATTACATCATTAGGAAAATGTCCTGCTACAACAGGGTCCATTACATCACGAGGAAAAGGTCCTGCTTCAACAGGGCCCATTACATCATTAGGAAAAGGTCTTGCTACAACAGGGCCCATTACATCATGAGGAAAATGTCCTGCTACAACAGGGTCCATTACATCATTACGAAAAGGTCCTGCTACAACATGGTCCATTACATCATTACGAAAATGTCCTGCTACAACAGGGCCCATTACATCATTAGGAAAAGGTCCTGCTACAACAGGGCCCATTATGTCATGAAGAAAAGGTCCTGCTACAACAGGGCCCATTACATCATTAGGAAAAGGTCCTGCTACAACAGGGTCCATTACATCATTAGGAAAAGGTCCTGCTACAACAGGGTCCATTACATCATGAGGAAAATGTCCTGCTACAACAGGGCCCATTATGTCATGAAGAAAAGTTCCTGCTACAACAGGGTCCATTACATCATGAGGAAAATGTCCTGCTACAACAGGGCCCATTACATCATGAGGAAAATGTCCTGCTACAACAGGGTCCATTACATCATTAGGAAAAGGTCCTACTACAACAGGGTCCATTATGTCATGAAGAAAAGGTCCTACTACAACAGGGTCCATAACATCATTACGAAAAGGTCCTGCTACAACAAGGTCCATTATGTCATGAGGAAAAGGTCCTACTACAACAGGGTCCATTACATCACGAGGATATGGTCCTGCTTCAACAGGGTCCATTACATCATGAGGAAAATGTCCTGCTACAACAGGGTCCATAACATCATTACGAAAAGGTCCTGCTACAACAGGGTCCATAACATCATTACGAAAAGGTCCTGCTACAACAGGGCCCATTACATCATGAGGAAAAGGTCCTGCTACAACAGGGTCCATTGCATCATGAGGAAAATGTCCTGCTACAACAGGGTCCATAACATCATTACGAAAAGGTCCTGCTTCAACAGGGTCCATAACATCATTACGAAAAGGTCCTGCTACAACAGGGCCCATTACATCATGAGGAAAAGGTCCTGCTACAACAGGGTCCATAACATCATGAGGAAAATGTCCTGCTACAACAGGGCCCATTATGTCATGAAGAAAAGGTCCTGCTACAACAGGGTCCATTACATCATTATGAAAATGTCCTGCTACAACAGGGTCCATTACATCACGAGGAAAAGGTCCTGCTTCAACAGGGTCCATTACATCATTAGGAAAATGTCCTGCTTCAACAGGGTCCATTACATCATTAGGAAAAGGTCCTGCTACAACAGGGCCCATTATGTCATGAAGAAAAGGTCCTACTACAACAGGGTCCATTACATCATTACGAAAAGGTCCTGCTACAACAGGGTCCATTACATCACGAGGAAAAGGTCCTGCTTCAACAGGGTCCATTACATCATTAGGAAAAGGTCCTGCTTCAACAGGGTCCATTACATCATTAGGAAAAGGTCCTGCTACAACTGGGTCCATTACATCACGAGGATATGGTCCTGCTTCAACAGGGTCCATTATATCATTAGGAAAATGTCCTGCTACAACAGGGTCCATTACATCATGAAGAAAAGGTCCTGCTACAACTGGGTCCATTACATCACGAGGATATGGTCCTGCTTCAACAGGGTCCATTATATCATTAGGAAAATGTCCTGCTACAACAGGGTCCATTACATCATTAGGAAAATGTCTTGCTACAACAAGGTCCATTATATCACGAGGATATGATCCTGCTACAACAGGGTCCATTATATCATTAGGAAAATGTCCTGCTACAACAGGGTCCATTACATCATTACGAAAAGGTCCTGCTACAACAGGGTCCATTACATCATTATGAAAATGTCCTGCTACAACAGGGTCCATTACATCACGAGGAAAAGGTCCTGCTTCAACAGGGTCCGTTACATCATTAGGAAAAGGTCCTGCTTCAACAGGGTCCATTACATCATTAGGAAAAGGTCCTGCTACAACAGGGCCCATTATGTCATGAGGAAAAGGTCCTACTACAACAGGGTCCATTACATCATGAGGAAAATGTCCTGCTACAACAGGGCCCATTACATCATGAAGAAAAGGTCCTGCTACAACTGGGTCCATTACATCACGAGGATATGGTCCTGCTACAACAGGGTCCATTACATCATTACGAAAAGGTCCTGCTACAACAGGGTCCATTACATCATTATGAAAATGTCCTGCTACAACAGGGTCCATTACATCACGAGGAAAAGGTCCTGCTTCAACAGGGTCCGTTACATCATTAGGAAAAGGTCCTGCTTCAACAGGGTCCATTACATCATTAGGAAAAGGTCCTGCTACAACAGGGCCCATTATGTCATGAGGAAAAGGTCCTACTACAACAGGGTCCATTACATCATGAGGAAAATGTCCTGCTACAACAGGGCCCATTACATCATGAAGAAAAGGTCCTGCTACAACTGGGTCCATTACATCACGAGGATATGGTCCTGCTTCAACAGGGTCCATTATATCATTAGGAAAATGTCCTGCTACAACAAGGTCCATTACATCATTAGGAAAATGTCTTGCTACAATAAGGTCCATTACATCACGAGGATATGGTCCTGCTACAACAGGGTCCATTACATCATTACGAAAAGGTCCTGCTACAACAGGGTCCATTACATCATTATGAAAATGTCCTGCTACAACAGGGTCCATTACATCACGAGGAAAAGGTCCTGCTTCAACAGGGTCCGTTACATCATTAGGAAAAGGTCCTGCTTCAACAGGGTCCATTACATCATTAGGAAAAGGTCCTGCTACAACAGGGCCCATTATGTCATGAGGAAAAGGTCCTACTACAACAGGGTCCATTACATCATGAGGAAAATGTCCTGCTACAACAGGGCCCATTACATCATGAAGAAAAGGTCCTGCTACAACTGGGTCCATTACATCACGAGGATATGGTCCTGCTTCAACAGGGTCCATTATATCATTAGGAAAATGTCCTGCTACAACAAGGTCCATTACATCATTAGGAAAATGTCTTGCTACAATAAGGTCCATTATATCACGAGGATATGATCCTGCTACAACAGGGTCCATTATATCATTAGGAAAATGTCCTGCTACATCAGGGTCCATTATATCATGAGGATATGATCCTGCTACAACAGGGTCCATTATATCATTAGGAAAATGTCCTGCTACAACAGGGTCCATTACATCATTAGGAAAATGTCCTGCTACAACAAGGTCCATTATATCACGAGGATATGATCCTGCTACAACAGGTTTTATTATGTCTTGTTGACTTTTAGACTTTTCATTGAAATTATAAAAAGATAAATTTTTTAATGATTGTAAATCTGTGGTCAATGATTGAAGGGTATTTTTATGTTGGTTGGAATTGGTTCATACAATATTATATTTCCTAGAGCTTTATTCTGACAGCTGCACGTGACAAAAGTCACCATCTAATTTGTACATGTTTCACATAATATTATTCTACAACACAAGAATCGTGATAATTTTGCATTACAAACCAGAAGTGGATCTAGTCAAATTGATCATGCAGTGATATAGTTTTGTACATGCACAGGGGGTCTTTGTGTTGAATAGTTGATATGATGTCAATTTGATGTTATGGAATTTCCAAATTCTACCAGTGATATCATTTTGTGTATGTTTTTGTATGTAACTTAGTCATACTTGGTTTCAGTGTATGGATTTTAAAATACTTGTATTGGTGACATAGCTTTGTGTTTGGAAAGGATTGGTCTGTTTGTGGGAAACCTCAATCATACATCTGGTATAATATAATTACTTCCCTTTTTCTTAAGTCACAAATTTGTGTTTTAGAGTCTCATATTGCTGACGAGGATAGTGATGATGAGGTAGTGTTTTATGTGCTGCTGCGAGCGGTGGACCGATTTTATGAGGAGTTTAATCGCTTCCCTGGCTGTTACAATGACCAGGTGGAGCCTGACATTCCCAGACTCAAGGTAAACATACCAAATCATTTCAAAACAAGATGTGTTTATGAAACACTATGCCCCAAGTTGAAACAAAATTCTGAAGTTGAACATTAAAACTGTACTGTGTAAGGCATGTGCTAATTGCGTTCACACTATGTGAAACTCTTTATTATGCCTTCATTGTGAAAGTCACAGTCAAGGTCACTTGGTGACCACCAGAAAGGTCTTGTCACAAGGAAAATCCATGCCAAATATGAAAGTTGTACCTGTTAAGGTGCAATATTATTGGCAAGGTTAACGTTGACAACAGACAAATAGACAGCACAGAAACTCAAAAACAATATGCCCTTGGTATTTCGATCCAGGGCATAAAAATTTATCTTACTTGAATTTTTTTCTTTAGACTATGAAAGCTGTTTTTGTCAGTTTTATTGAAAAAGTACTGGTACATGTAGGATTTAATGAATGATTGTGTCAAGATTTAACTGAAGCGTCTGTTCCAGGTCTCTTTGGTGAAGGTTTTACAGGAATGGGGCTTGTCACCTACAATCAAAGATGACTATATCCATGAAATGTACGTATTTACTTTCATCATTTTATTTCATTTTGAATCGTGTGGCTGTTGATTTTTCACTGGAAAATTGGACATTTTCTAAGTAGATTTGGATTTGGATTTAATGATAAGGAAAAACTAACTAGGTGAAATTGTTATTGTGTTTACATGTTGTGTTTTTATCTCCTCAGATGTCGATATGGTTCAGCTGAGCTGCATACAATAGCTTCCTTTATTGGGGGTGCTGCAGCCCAAGAAGTCATCAAAGTTATCACTGGTCAGTTTGTTCCAATAAATAACACCTATATTTACAATGCAATGAAACAGACTTCAATCACTGTGGAGTTATGATTGACAGTGTTATTAGCTGTACAGACAAATGTACCACTGACCATGGAACTGTTACACCATCACTGTGGAGTTATGATTGACACTGTTATTAGCCGTAAAGACAAACGTACCACTGACCATGGAACTGTTACACCATCACTGTGGAGTTATGATTGACACTGTTATTAGCTGTACAGACAGATGTACCACTGACCATGGAACTGTTACACCATCACTGTGGAGTTATGATTGACAGTGATATTAGCTGTACAGACAAATGTACCACTGACCATGGAACTATAAACAGACTGTGATTGATTCCATCAAGATAGTGGCAACAGTTTTTGTGAGGTTTCAGATATTGTGTTATTACAATAGATGCCATATTTCTTTTCTCACCCTGGAACTGTAGGATTATTACCCTGAAAGTGTCAGATTTTCAAGGCAACTCTCCAAAAAAATGATTTTTTTTGTCCTGCAAACTTTATTTTGTTATGGAAATTATCAAAAGAATTGGAATTGTTACCATGGAAACTACATCAAGTAGTGCTTTTTCCTGTGTCTGACAGCAATTAGAATCTGCTGATATTTATAAATGTAGGTACAGTTTCTGAGAGGTGTGTTATCCATTACTGACCGATGTGTTCTATAGATACATTGAAGTATTGTGATTCTGGAGGACAAGTCTATAGTCTCTGAGTGACACTTATATGATAGTACAAATATTTAGTGAACAAACCAATTATTTTATGCTTGATGTTTAATGATTTTTCATTGAATATGAATTATGAATATGATAGAATGTCATGATACCATGTCCATCCAGCATCAACTTTTCCCTTTTAAGTGCTTCTTCTCAATAACCAAACGTCCAAGAATCATTATGTTTGCCTGAAATGTTCCTGGGATAAAGCAAGACAAAATGTGCAAAAAGAAATAAACTTAACCTCACATTCAAAGTCACAGGGGTCAGGTTTATGGAAACCTTAGGCAAAGAACTATGATTCATGTATTTTGCAAGAAGGTTCTTTGGAAATAGCCAAACAAATTGTATGGAAAGAAATGACCTTGATGCCATATTCAAGTGACAGTTGTGAATTTTTTTAAAACCCATAAATGAATTCTTCTCTTCAACCAAAATGCATATGATTATTATATTCAGTGTGAAGGTTCCTTAGATACAGCCCAACAATCATTTTGATGAAAAGAATTGACCTTCAGATGTTAATGATGTAAAATGTTAAAGTATTTGTGACAAACATTGATTACCAGGTGTGTAATGCAGGTCTGTTGACCTAAAAACATTGACTACCAGGTGTGTAATGCAGGTCTGTTGACCTAAAAACATTGACTACCAGGTGTGTAATGCAGGTCAGTTGGGTCTAAAAACATTGACTACCAGGTGTGTAATGCAGGTCTGTTGACCTAAAAACATTGACTACCAGGTGTGTAATGCAGGTCTGTTGACCTAAAAACATTGACTACCAGGTGTGTAATGCAGGTCTGTTGACCTAAAACCATTGACTACCAGGTGTGTAATGCAGGTCTGTTGACCTAAAAACATTGACTACCAGGTGTGTAATGCAGGTCTGTTGACCTAAAAACATTGACTACCAGGTGTGTAATGCAGGTCAGTTGGGTCTAAAAACATTGACTACCAGGTGTGTAATGCAGGTCTGTTGACCTAAAAACATTGACTACCAGGTGTGTAATGCAGGTCTGTTGGGTCTAAACACATTGACTACCAGGTGTGTAATGCAGGTCTGTTGACCTAAAAACATTGACTACCAGGTGTGTAATGCAGGTCTGTTGACCTAAAAACATTGACTACCAGGTGTGTAATGCAGGTCTGTTGGGTCTAAACACATTGATTACCAGGTGTGTAATGCAGGTCTGTTGACCTAAAAACATTGACTACCAGGTGTGTAATGCAGGTCAGTTGGGTCTAAAAACATTGACTACCAGGTGTGTAATGCAGGTCTGTTGACCTAAAACCATTGACTACCAGGTGTGTAATGCAGGTCTGTTGACCTAAAAACATTGACTACCAGGTGTGTAATGCAGGTCAGTTGGGTCTAAAAACATTGACTACCAGGTGTGTAATGCAGGTCTGTTGACCTAAAAACATTGACTACCAGGTGTGTAATGCAGGTCTGTTGACCTAAAAACATTGACTACCAGGTGTGTAATGCAGGTCTGTTGACCTAAAAACATTGACTACCAGGTGTGTAATGCAGGTCAGTTGGGTCTAAAAACATTGACTACCAGGTGTGTAATGCAGGTCTGTTGGGTCTAAACACATTGATTACCAGGTGTGTAATGCAGGTCTGTTGACCTAAAAACATTGACTACCAGGTGTGTAATGCAGGTCTGTTGGGTCTAAACACATTGATTACCAGGTGTGTAATGCAGGTCTGTTGACCTAAAAACATTGACTACCAGGTGTGTAATGCAGGTCAGTTGGGTCTAAAAACATTGACTACCAGGTGTGTAATGCAGGTCTGTTGACCTAAAAACATTGACTACCAGGTGTGTAATGCAGGTCTGTTGACCTAAAAACATTGACTACCAGGTGTGTAATGCAGGTCTGTTGACCTAAAAACATTGTGTAATGCTACCAGGTGTGTGTAATGCAGGTCTGTTGGGTGTGTAATGCTAAAAACATTGACTACCAGGTGTGTAATGCAGGTCTGTTGACCTAAAAACATTGACTACCAGGTGTGTAATGCAGGTCTGTTGACCTAAAAACATTGACTACCAGGTGTGTAATGCAGGTCAGTTGGGTCTAAAAACATTGACTACCAGGTGTGTAATGCAGGTCTGTTGACCTAAAAACATTGACTACCAGGTGTGTAATGCAGGTCTGTTGACCTAAAAACATTGACTACCAGGTGTGTAATGCAGGTCTGTTGACCTAAAAACATTGACTACCAGGTGTGTAATGCAGGTCTGTTGACCTAAAAACATTGACTACCAGGTGTGTAATGCAGGTCTGTTGACCTAAAAACATTGACTACCAGGTGTGTAATGCAGGTCTGTTGGTGTGTAATGCCTAAAAAACATTGACTACCAGGTGTGTAATGCAGGTCTGTTGACCTAAAAACATTGACTACCAGGTGTGTAATGCAGGTCTGTTGACCTAAAAACATTGGGTGTGTAATGCAGGTCTGTTGACCTAAAAACATTGACTACCAGGTGTGTAATGCAGGTCAGTTGGGTCTAAAAACATTGACTACCAGGTGTGTAATGCAGGTCTGTTGACCTAAAAACATTGACTACCAGGTGTGTAATGCAGGTCTGTTGACCTAAAAACATTGACTACCAGGTGTGTAATGCAGGTCTGTTGACCTAAAAACATTGACTACCAAAACATTGACTACCAGGTGTGTAATGCAGGTCTGTTGACCTAAAAACATTGACTACCAGGTGTGTAATGCAGGTCTGTTGACCTAAAAACATTGTCTACCAGGTGTGTAATGCAGGTCTGTTGACCTAAAAACATTGACTACCAGGTGTGTAATGCAGTTCTGTTGACCTAAAAACATTGTCTACCAGGTGTGTAATGCAGGTCAGTTGGGTCTAAAAACATTGACTACCAGGTGTGTAATGCAGGTCTGTTGACCTAAAAACATTGTCTACCAGGTGTGTAATGCAGGTCTGTTGACCTAAAAACATTGACTACCAGGTGTGTAATGCAGGTCTGTTGACCTAAAAACATTGACTACCAGATGTGTAATGCAGGTCAGTTGGGTCTAAAAACATTGACTACCAGGTGTGTAATGCAGGTCTGTTGACCTAAAAACATTGTCTACCAGGTGTGTAATGCAGGTCAGTTGGGTCTAAAAACATTGACTACCAGGTGTGTAATGCAGGTCTGTTGACCTAAAAACATTGACTACCAGGTGTGTAATGCAGGTCTGTTGACCTAAAAACATTGACTACCAGGTGTGTAATGCAGGTCTGTTGACCTAAAAACATTGACTACCAGGTGTGTAATGCAGGTCTGTTGACCTAAAAACATTGACTACCAGGTGTGTAATGCAGGTCAGTTGGGTCTAAAAACATTGACTACCAGGTGTGTAATGCAGGTCTGTTGACCTAAAACCATTGACTACCAGGTGTGTAATGCAGGTCTGTTGACCTAAAAACATTGACTACCAGGTGTGTAATGCAGGTCAGTTGGGTCTAAAAACATTGACTACCAGGTGTGTAATGCAGGTCTGTTGACCTAAAAACATTGACTACCAGGTGTGTAATGCAGGTCTGTTGACCTAAAAACATTGACTACCAGGTGTGTAATGCAGGTCTGTTGACCTAAAAACATTGACTACCAGGTGTGTAATGCAGGTCTGTTGACCTAAAAACATTGACTACCAGGTGTGTAATGCAGGTCTGTTGGGTCTAAACACATTGATTACCAGGTGTGTAATGCAGGTCTGTTGACCTAAAAACATTGACTACCAGGTGTGTAATGCAGGTCTGTTGGGTCTAAACACATTGATTACCAGGTGTGTAATGCAGGTCTGTTGACCTAAAAACATTGACTACCAGGTGTGTAATGCAGGTCTGTTGGGTCTAAACACATTGATTACCAGGTGTGTAATGCAGGTCTGTTGACCTAAAAACATTGACTACCAGGTGTGTAATGCAGGTCTGTTGGGTCTAAACACATTGATTACCAGGTGTGTAATGCAGGTCTGTTGACCTAAAAACATTGTCTACCAGGTGTGTAATGCAGGTCTGTTGACCTAAAAACATTGACTACCAGGTGTGTAATGCAGGTCTGTTGACCTAAAAACATTGACTACCAGGTGTGTAATGCAGGTCTGTTGACCTAAAAACATTGACTACCAGGTGTGTAATGCAGGTCTGTTGACCTAAAAACATTGACTACCAGGTGTGTAATGCAGGTCTGTTGACCTAAAAACATTGACTACCAGGTGTGTAATGCAGGTCTGTTGACCTAAAAACATTGACTACCAGGTGTGTAATGCAGGTCTGTTGACCTAAAAACATTGACTACCAGGTGTGTAATGCAGGTCTGTTGACCTAAAAACATTGACTACCAGGTGTGTAATGCAGGTCTGTTGACCTAAAAACATTGACTACCAGGTGTGTTGGCCTTGTTGATTATTTTGTCAGCTTATCATTGTATGTGTATATTCTGTCATATATCAGAGAAATATTTATGATATTCAAGGAGAGAACAATTTTCTATTTATTGCTACAATGAATATTGATATAATCAATAATGCAGTATTTGCTATGACATTCTGCTGATATTAAGTGTGAGGAATGACAGCAAGCCAGCATCATTCTGTTTTTGGCTTTCATTATTTGTTTAAAGATCCTATACAACTGTTATCATATTTATATTTATTAAAAATCTCTAGTATGCAGTGAAGATGCTGTATGCTTTGATTTATTCTGCTTTAACAAGCAGCCTGCATTTGAAGTCTTATGATTGAAATATCGACAGTTGTCATGTGACAATAAGGAACATCTAGGAAAACAAAAGTTGTTTATGAAAGCTAGAAATGTCAAGATCATCAAAACAGGGCATAAATTTTGTAGAAATATTTGTGTTGACAATGAATGCTGCCTTGATCGATTGTACATGTAATAAAGCTTGTATTCTACTTCACCTGTATTTTGTATCTATTAAGTATCAGTATGGGTAGTATAAGATCAACTGTTTATAGGATCACACAGGCTGACTGTGCTTACATTATAAATGGTAGGTTTAATTGTCAGCAAAACTCTTCATTTATTTTAACAAATTTATTCAAGGTCAGTTTCAATCACAACACACTACAAATGTCCCCTGTGAGAGGGTTAATCATTGGTCAATAAATATCCCATTCAATAATGATGCTTGGTGTGTGTTGTGATTGAAACTTATTTGAATTAGATTTGATATTTTATTTCATCACCCTGCATACTTTTAAATATCTGCACCCAACACGCAGTTCCCAACACAACAACCACCTGACTCTGAAGTGACGTCGGCTATCTGACCCTAAGGGTCAGAATGACCTATAGCAAGAGTTTCATCTGTCCTTGTGTGCAATGTGTAAACTTTCCATTCAAATTACTTTTTCTCAATGACCAGAGTCTCAGGGTATGATATTGTGTCTGTAGCATGATGGGATGAAGGACTACCAAGTTTGTTGATATGAATGACCTTCACCTACTCTCAAGGTCATAGGGGTCAAACATGTTAAAATATTTAAAGAATTTCTTTTAAATAATCAAAAGCCCCAGAGTGCTGATATTGAAACTGTAGCATGCTAAGATGAAGGGCTTCAAAGTTTGTTAATCTCTAGGACCTTGACCTTCTTTCAAGGTCAAACATGTCAAATATGTCAAAATCTTTAAGAAAATCTTCTCAATAACTGAAATGTTCATGATACTGATATTGGGCCTTTAGCATGCTGGGATGAAAGGCTATCAAGTTTGTTAAACCAATTTCCTTGACCCACTTTCAAGGTCACAGGGTTAAAATGTTTTGAAATATTCAAACGGCTTTCAATTACCAAATGGTTTATGATGCTGATATTGGTCCTTTAGCATGCTGGAATGAACTTTGTTCACCTAGACCTACTCTCAAAGTCACAGGGGTCAAATTTGTTGAAACACATCAGAAGCTTCTTCTCTTGATATTGGGCCTGTAGCATACTTTTTCAATAAGGGATTTGTCTGGAGTAATGGCATTTGTGTAGTGCATGTATAAAGAATATGATTTCAAGTTTACGGAAAATGTCTTTATGAACTAATCAGTGTCTTCTATATCAGCTGTAGTGTAATTTAGCAATTTATTTCAGGCCTATCCTTGTTTGTTTATCTTAACATGAATGCCATAACAAGGTTATGTATATACATTTTTTATAATGATTTTTGTTTCCCTAACAGTCTTTAGAGAATTGCTAAGGTTGGGAGCTTTGGTTCATCCTCTTACGCAATATCATCTCATTGCCATGCCAATAGATATATATATATATACAAACGATTCTGGCTGTAAACGAAGGTGTCCAGATTATTGAAGATCCACTATATTTAAGCTTTTAGATTACAACTTAGATTTTCAGAAATGGTTTCAAAGTCTATATGACTAGTTCTTTTCAGATTAGCTTTACATTCATATTGTTAATGTTAGACCTGAATTTTCATCGCCCTTCTTCTGAGGAGTGATGTTTTAGGAGATAGATCCAAATATGCAATATTTGGATCTATCTTTTTTTGAGAACAGATTTACAATTTATTTCATTTCATTTTTTTTTTTTTTTTTTTTGTAATTTATATTTGATTCATTTTCACATTTTGAAAACAAAAACTCATTTACATAAGACATGGAACAAATGGGGAAGAACATATTGTAAAACATAACAACAGCACACTAATTACACCAACAGGTACAATAGGCAAAATAAGTCTAGGTTCTGATAATGTAAAGAATATATAATACATAGTGAATACATGTGTTAAAAGACAAAGGCATACTTTTGTACCAAGGTAGAGTAATAGAATAAATATTAGACAAAAGTAAATCCCTCAAATACAAACTATTCACTTTAACAATCTAACCACTGTTGGATTTGTGCACTTAATTGAGCTTTATTTTTAAATTTACATTTAGATGAAAGAATTTGGTGTGCTTTTAACTCAACATTAAAGTGACTTTTAACACTATTATAATTAAGTTGTTGTTCAAGACATCTGGACTTATATATGTAATGTTTTATAATTTTTAGCTATAATGTTAATTCTTAAACTTTCAATTAGACTTGACACAAGATGACAGTCCCATAATATATGGATAATAGTTTCTGGATGAAGTTTGCAACAAGAATATAGGTTATTATCAGTTTTTCCAATTTTGAATAAGAAAGTATTTGTAACAAGGTTTCTATGATTAATTCTATACTGCAGCCATTGAAGTTTTGGAATTGGATGTTGTGTTAAAAGGAGCTGAATAAATGTTGTTCCATGTATCTTCTCTCAAATTTAATGAAGTGTTCCATTTTCTTTCAGATTTTGGTCTAGTAGAATTTTTACTAATTGTTTTGTAAATTTCTTGAGCTCCCTTTTTGTCTTTCAAAATAAGTTTTAAGTTAATGGGAATACTAGGTAAAACAGTTCTTTTTTCTAAGTCGAATAAGTTTTGGTTCCTCAAGATAAAATGATAGACAGCTGTTTTAATACTTTGATAAGTTAAGAAATTAGTATGAATATTATATTTTTCTCTTAATTCTTCAAGATTATAAAATGTTTTGTCCTCTTTAATTAAGTCATTAATAGTATGAATCCCATTATTATACCAAACCCTATTGAAGACATGTTTTCTATCAACTTTTATTTCACTATTAAACCAAATTGGATTTTCTATTATATGTGTTATATAAATTTTGATTGCTAAAATAGTGCTATACCATGCTTCTAGGACGTCTTTCCAGAATTTGTTTTCACATTGTTTTGATAGCTCTTTCACCTTTTTTTATTCCCATATTAGCTAATCTATGTTTATCAAAAAAAGAATCTATAAAAAATTCCCACTTTCTAGAATGGTTATATATCCTTCTGATCCAGGTTACTTTTAAAGCAGTAATGTATGATTAAATATGTATCATTTTAAGCCCCCCTTCCAGATAGTTTTTAATTATAACATCTCTTTTTTATTTTATCAGGTTTACCATTCCATAGATAGTCATAAAATAAAGTATTGATTTTTTTCATATACAAGTCATCAGGATTGGGAAGAGATAGAAACAGATGATTGAACTGAGATATCAATAAAGTTTTTATAACAGTAATTCTACCAATTGGTGTAAGTATTCGTTTGCGCCACACTGATATTAATGATATTAATTTTGTCAAAATTAAGTTTAGTAATTTTATGTAAATCTACATCATATTCTATGTCCAAAAGATTAAAGTTAGTACACCCCCATTTTAACTTTAAATTGGTATTATAAGTATCTTCACTATATTTTTTGCTGCCATTCCATACTACCTGAGTCTCGGAGAAGTTCATTTTTAAACCTGAAATATTTGCAAAGACTGTTTAATGTTTCATTGAACATGGTTGTCATCAGGGGGATCCGGTTTCATCTTATATTTTTATTTTGTGTGCAGTGATTTTATCAATAATTTTAAGAAATAACTCTTACATCAAAGGAATTACTGTACGAGAAAAAGAAATACTTCTATCACAGTTTGCTGATGACACCTCTGTTATATTGGATGGATTCAAAAAGTCTTTAGACGAAACATTAAACAGTCTTACATTCTTTGCAAATATTTCAGGTTTATTCCCTATAGTGAATTTTTCCATTTCCAGCATTGTTCCTCTATCTTTATAGGTGTAAGTTTACAAGATGCAGATTGATGAAAATTATGGGGAAGTTTTATGGTTGCCATAGAGATCTCACTGATAAATATTCTGTTTCTTTGTATGACACGAAGCTGGACATGTTTGATGGTAGTTAGTTTTCCTGTTAGTGCCATTGTTGTATGCCTTGTTCTCATTTCAAGACATGACATTACTTACTGGGATTGACCGAGGTTTATATGGCGGGTGTCGAGGTTTATATGGCGGGTGTCGAGGTTTATATGGCGGGCGTCGAGGTTTATATGGCGGGCGTCAAGGTTTATATGGCGGGTGTCGAGGCGAGTGTCGAGGTTTATATGGCGGGTGTCGAGGCGAGTGTCGAGGTTTATATGGCGGGTGTCGTTGATGAAGCATTATGCTGCCATATTGTTATTCTCTTGATTCTTTTTTTTTTAAATCAGAAAGAAATTGTGGTGAATTAATGAACATGTTAAAATAAAGCAAAAATATATGTGAAAGGTGTGTTCTGACAATGGCAGTGTCAGTGGTAGGGTAAATAGTGAATATAGGGTAAGTGTCTTCAAATATAAGCTATATTTTGGCGAAGGCGAAGAAGGAAAAAAGTGACGAGCAAAGTCTGAAATCCCAGTGATTCTTTAAAGCACTATAATGACAGCATAAACCATCACTAAAAGTAAGGACACCTGTTTCTTATTTATAACCTACAGTAAACATGGAACTGATAAACGCCCTTCTCTACCAGCAGTGATAAGTAACCTAGCTTCATTGCAATCTATCACGGACCACAGAAATTGAAAAAGGCTTTTAATATGTCACTGGGAGAAACACACTAGACTTCTAGGAAGACAACTTTGTCACTGTAATCTATCAACTCATTCAAATGCATTTATAGTTTCTTTGAGGTAAGGTGAGTGCCTTGAGCCAGTGGAACTCTTATTTCATACAAAATAATTGTACACTGAAATAGCTAATGAGGTATATGGAAAGAGAAGCTATTTGATTGCTTTTGCATGTCTTAGGGTCAAAGTTAAAGGACAAGGTCGCCAATAAAAGATGGTTGCTACCATAAGCTGTACATAACATGCCTAATACATCTACAAAGAAGGTATATGACATCACAAACAGCATAATTGGAATAAAATTTATCATTACATTTATTTCACTGTCTTTATCTATGTTTCTTGTTTGCAGCCAAATTTTATCTATGTTTGAATTTAAAATCATCAAACTTGGTATTATTGTGTTCTACAATAGTGTCAACCTTTATTTTCCTTCAGTGAATTATCAACATTGTT